CAGGCTAGGACCGCCATTGCCTCTATGTGTCTCTCTCACTTACTCAGTGTGCTTGGCTCCATGCTGCAGTGGCTCCTCCGGATCCATAGAGGGCACTGTGCTGCAGGCAGGGTCTGACAAGCGCAGTGTAGGGGTTTTGTTCCCAGAGCTCCTTGGTGCGCTGTCCACTTCAGCACCACAAAGCCGAGCGGAGGCAGCGGGCTAGCTAACACGGGTGGGACTGAAGATACGGCTTAACATCAGCACCAGCGCTAACCCGAGTCCCAGATACAGAAAATACTGAAAATTAGCCATATTCGACAGAAACACCGACAGCAACGAGTCAAGCGACTACAAAAAAGGTAAGAGTTTTCGAAGAAGCTCAAATAAGATCAAGTTGGTGGATAATAACGGGCATCCCAGAAGAAAAACGCGCTCCCCTTCCCTTCCTGCTTCATAAATACTGCATGACCTTATTAAGGCTGTGTTTACGTTAGCTTCCAGTCCTGTTTGCACAGCACGTATTCGCCTTATTGCGAGTTTGTTAGACACAAAGAGGGACACTTCAGTGGTATAAAGCTGTAGGGTGACCGTATGGGCAGCCTCTCCTCGCTTTGCAGATGGTGCTGTTTTATAACTCGTCGATTTCCGCCCGCTTGCTACCCTGTGACCAGCTGCTGTTTCCCTTTTATTCCCCTCTGTCCTGGCTGCGGGACATTTAATATCTCCGCTACCGTTTTGTGAACCGAGTGGCGTGTTATGTGGTTAAACCGCCTCCGGTGTACCGCTGTTCATTTGCGGAATTAGCCAAGACTGACACAGCAGCAAATTCATCTGTCAAGCTCTGGTTGCATATGTGCATTTGGGTTAAAGGAAATATGTGTAAGCATGTATAGTTTACTAGTGAATACTTAAAGCTTTCCTATGGGACACCTTATCAGTGATTGTGAATACTTTATGAAAGATATCTATCTATCTATCTATCTATCTATCTATCTATCTATCTATCTATCTATCTATCTATCTATCTATAGCACTGTAAAACTAACGTGTAATGCTGTGCTATATGTGTGCAAATGAACTGTGTGGTAGGAAAGACCTAGAGAAGAATCAGAGTTGAAGCAGATCCCATAGGGATTAGTGTTTGGGGTTTTTTTTTTAATTAAAAAAAAACAAACATGTTTTTAAAGCATTTATATAATATAAAAGTCGGTATTGTGAATATCATCATACATTTTAATGTATGATGGCTTCATCACCTTTTCCAGGTGATGTCAAATCCCCCTGTGTAATGGAGCAAATGTCATAACGGTTCTTCTTCATAATAGTGATATATGTTTAAATATTACAGAGTGAATACAGCATAATATACGCTCACTGAAATCCCTTCTGTGATAGTCTGGTTACTGTTGCGGAATTTCCCCCTCCTGCTTCTTTAATCCATGAAATTTAAATGTTATAATGTGACACTGGAAATGAGCCAAAGACTTGGTGGTTCCAGCTTTAAATGGTTGTAAATTCTATATTTTACAACTGCTTGTCAGACAAAAGCATCTCTCTGAAGATGTCCCCTTGGGCTTTGGAAAAATGTCACAGACATCTTTCTGTGCTTGCTAAACCAAACAATTAAATAATTAAGGAATATGATCTAATGGCAAAAACCTACAATCCATCATACTGCTGCTTAATTATATTGCGATATGCAGCTCCTGGGCAAAACTCACAAATCCCTCTGCTCTCCGTGCCCACATAGCAAATCACTGTTTGCCTCAGTCCTTATGAAAACCCCATGAATCAGTAATCAGTGCTCTCTTCGTGATCGGGCAAAAAGAAAAAGCCAGCAGGAGTCGAGTGAGTGACAGGACATTGGCGGTGCTGACCTGATACTCTGTTACATAGGACTTGGAGCGGCGCCTTGCTGGCCTGGCCAAACGAAAATACTGACTGAATCTCTGAAAGCAGGAGGCTTCCATTTTGCCACAGTGCTGCCATCGGTGAGATAGGCCCAGGTGAGGTAAGAGGCTGATAGAGGGATTAGCTAGTATTAGGATGTGGATGCTCATAGTGGTGTGAGAGAAATGTCACTCACTCCCACTCTATCTTCCCCTGCCGTCTCTCTCTCTGGCTCCTCTGGCTCCACAAAGCATCTGTCTCCTGCTTGCTCTGCATTCACATTGATCCTAGATGAGCAGTGATACCCCACCGCC